TATATATATATATATATATATATATATATATATAAAGACTATTAAAATATTATAGTTTAAAAACGAATATTACATATCTAAAGTTTAGAATTATTGTTGATAATTCTATACTTAAAACTACAAATTTCTTTGGCATAATACTACAAGCTTGAAAACTTTATATGAGATATATTGTGCCTAAAAACGATAGAAACATTTATTTATAATGAATCATCACACTAACTTCAGCCTTATATATGTGCACTAACTAGACCAGTTACACAACAGCAGAACATTTATCCTTATCAAACATTTTTTGTTGCAATACAACAGTTGGTTGCTAACGAATCTCTATACACCACACGCAATACGATCATTCTTTCCATGCTGGGACGATCCGAGAGTAAGAGCATCATACAACATCTCAATCCAATTTCCTGCAGATTACACAGTTCTCTCAACAGTACCCGAAAAACTTTCTTCCTATATACAAGATCTACTATTTACACAATCGGGCATAAAATTAACACAGTTCAAAGAATTTATTTCGACGCCCACACATCTTGTAGCATTTTTGGTGGTCGGTGATATCACAATAGATTTTGAATCACAAGGTTTCCATTATATATGGCACAAAACAGATGCGGATAAGAAATTCACTCATGTACTAGAAATAGCAGAAATGACGACAGCTTATTTTAATGCATATATGAAAATAAACATATCGGACATCACTCCAACAATTAACCATGTTGTACTTCCAAATAGTCCTATGAAATCAATGGGTGCACCCGGACTTGTTGTTTACAGGTATACAATAATCATGTTAAAAGTGATATTACTTAAGCCATTAACATTACCATGGGAAAAAATACACTCTAAAATTTGATAACACATATCTAAACTTAAGTTAAATACATTGTATAAAAACATACAATACCCTTATTGGGCAATAGTAATACAAATACTGTTTGTACAGAACAAATCGATACGCACTGCCACAAGTAATAAATATAAAAATGTTTTTGAATATATGTAATGTAAGTAAACTATAAATAGAGTTTACCATTCTATAATATTATTGGCAGGATAATATGTGATATAAGTTATCTTAATTATTTTTATTCCATTTTTTTCAAATTTTCCTAGTAATTTCAATTTCAAATTTGGTACAGTACATTTTTACCTATAACAATTAATAACCGTTATTCTTGTGTAATGAATTGTCGATAAAAAATTATCGGTTTACAAACTGTTCCATGTTGTTGCACAAAAATACATTAAAATATCGAGACTACAGAATATCTGTGCGTTCGTATTACACGCGTTACATTATAGTGAAACTTCGATTCTAATATTTCGCAATTAGAATGTCATAATGTATACGAATATCATATTTTTAAAATATTATTACACAGAAAAAATATGAGGACTTTTTTGTTATATTTCTAATTATTTTTTCACGAATAAAGTTAAAATAAGTCAAATAATAAGTTAAATAAGTCATAACTAACAAAAAGAGTGTGTGATAAGGAAAGAAAAAAGTGATGAAAGTAGGAAGAGAGAGGATATATGTGTGTATGCAAAGATATTTTGCGATACATGTATAATATATATATTTTTTATAAACATATATTTATATGTTAATATAAATACATATTTAAAAAAATATATTTATAAACATACATTTATATATTATATAATTTATGTTACATCTTTTATATTATTTATATATTTTACAATTATATATTTTTTTATATAGTTATATTATATATATTAATATACACGCACACATACATATGTTAAAATTTCTTAATGACCTTTAATATATGCATTTTCCTTCTGTTTATAGGGAAAGCAATATTATGTTCGATAAAGCTTTAGATTTTCCCAGTCAGTCTATTGATGTTATAATGTTGATAACATACGAAATGGCGCGTCAATTGTTTGTTGGAATTGTCGGCCCGGAACTAAGCGCTAATTATGTGTGGTTAAATGAAATATTCGCATCATTCTACGGCTATCATATCATAAGTTCTTTCATATCATTCTACGGCCAACATATGATAAACAAGGTTACTTTATGCCATTAAAATTAGCAAATTGCAAATAAAGTTTCGTTATTAATGTATATTGTATATCTTGAGAATATTTAAGTAGTTTAAAAGTTTAAATTATTACATTAATGATGAAATTATGTTTATATATTATGTTAATTCGAGCAAACGTTTCATGTTGCAATAAATAGCATCGCTAATTTACTGTTTTTAGATACGAACATCAGAACGATTAATGGAACTGTTCGTAGTTAAAATTATTCAGCCTACTTTAGATAGTGACGTGCTCTTAGAGAGAGAACCTATTATATACAAGGCTAAAGTCAGTAATGGAATTGATGGATTACTTTATCCTCTTCTTTATCATAAGAAAGGTAAAGAGAAGCTGAGCAAATATTTATGCAATTATTCTTAACACAATTAATTCTATATACGTTTTGGCATTTTCATTCACCTAGCTTACGCTCTAATCCGCATGCTGTTCAAACTTTACAATCCCAAAACTTTCAAAGACGCCATTAGGATATATGTATACGAACGGTTAGTAATGGATAGTAACATAACTATCTAGTCTTATATTTGATCTCCCTTGTTTATGTAAGTTTATGAAGCGTCACCTAATATCGGAATTTCATGCTTTCTGACATGCATATAGACGGGCACGCTATGAGAATCTCAATTTGCTAGACAGCTTCCTATCCAGATAACACAGAGAATTCAAAAAAAAATTCAGTTGTATGTCCTAATTCTGAAGTCATTTTTAGATGCAAAAAGAATTCCTTTCACTGAACTGAATTCTGAAGAATTCTTTTTGTATCTGAAAATAAACTTAGAATTGGTGACCTACGACTGTATTCTTTTTTAATTCTTTTAGAATTCTCCATGCTATCTGGGTACCGTGCGTTGGTAGATTTTTTCAATAAACTAAGTTGCTTACAGCATGCCGACCACACGCATGTCAGAGTGCATAAAATCGTACATCGTCTAACTCTATACACTTAGTCTTTGTATTACTTTGCCAATATATTATGTTTATCTCCTATAGATCATCCCTTGGGAACATTTTATTGGAATAGTTTATATTCTAAATTGATTACATTTGTAATTTCATACGTGCTTTCATGAACATATATTAAATGATGTCAGTAGTTGGATAGTTCAATAGGATAGATATGTCTTTTTGATACGTCTTCCTTTATTTTAAGTCTGTTCTGAAAATTGAATATTTTAAAATGTCCGGTTTATTACTTCGTTAATAGAGTGGACGTGTGGATTATATTGGAAAACCTTTATTCTCTAAAATTCGAAAGCGACTATACGGTAAAAGAATTTATGAATTCATGGTTGGCGGCAAAGCACCATCCCGAACTGCTCATCCAACGTGATTATGAAAAGTGGACTGCAGCTTGTATTTCATCACGTACGTTCATTGATGATAATTCCAAATGGATAATACCTGTCAATTACTTTACGGAATCTAATTACGCGTCCTACAATATCTCGGAGGTTCTTTGGCTGAATTGGGGTAAAATAAAACATATTACTGCCATAAGTAGTGATGATTTTCTCATAGTCAACACAGAACAAATAGGTAAGAGCATATAACGATATATTTATTATATAATATACTATGTTGTCCTGTCATGAAGAGTATATGTACATATGTGAATATGTATATATGTATATATGTACATGTACATATGTAAATATGTATATATGTGTGTGTATATGCGTGTGCGTCAGCGTGTATGTGTATGTGTTGTATATAGAAACAACATACGCATCAGGATGTATGATAATTTTTACTTTGTAATTGTTATCTCATGTTTTATGTTTTTGAGCCAATTAAATATAATTTTTTATATACATTTCGCGTGCGTGCATGACTTTTAACGGGCTGTCACAATATTATATTATATTAAGAAGTATATTTTATTGGTTAAATAGCACGTGTGCTGTATATACCAGGTATGTAAATATGAAACCGGAATTTTTGTATAGAAAATACACGTTTATTGTATGAAAATGATAAAAAATATTTTATTCGAAGTATTGCCCATCGCTAGCTATACATTTTTCCCACCTGTTTGACAATTTGTGGATGCCACGCCAAAAAAA